TCGGGCCCCCCCCCCACACTCCTGGCTCACTACTTCTCTCTGCCTCTTACTTTGTTCTGTTGCTATAGTTAGCTGTTTATGCATCTGCTCCCCCCACCAGCTTTCCAGTCACTTAAGAGCATCCCCACCCCCTCAGCCACCTCTGCATCCCAGGTGTTCAGGGCCTGAGCCTATTGCTGGACACATTAGAGGTCAAGTGGAAGGCAGTGTCTTAGGGTTAGTGGCTTTGGGGGCTCTGGGAAGACAGACTCTAGTTAGGATCTTCCCAGCCTGAAGAAGACAGCCAGACCATGATCAGAAAGCGGCCCATAATGCCATCGAGATGTTCATCAGCGTGTTCAGCACGTATGGGCCAAGGACATGCCACTTTCATGGAAGACAAATGATCGGGCTGACTGATTCATGCAAATGAGTCACACGTCCCAGCGCATGCACATGGAGAGGGCGTGTCCTCCTCAACGGGTTGAGCTGCAGGGAAGCCCACACACATCACTCACCTGGCTTCCTCATAATTCATTCCCAAGGTGTCTGGATGGGGAAAGGCGCCATCGGGGGCCAAGGCAGGAAGTTCCTCCGCAGAAAAGCACACTGGAGATGTGAACGGAGAGAAGCCAGCTTTAGAACACCCAGATGGGGGACTGAGGCGAGAGAGGGTAAGTGCCTGGCGGCACGTCACACAGCGTGGACAGCTGTTTTCAGAGAGTTAGAAAGTCCAAATGTCCTCTCGGGAGTCGCCACTCTCTTCTCCTGGTGCCCTGCTTATCCGTTGCCACAGGAGGGCCCAAGACCAGAGGTCTGTTACCTGTTATTCTGTGTTAGACCTTTCTGCCTAAATGTCTGAGTCAGTTTCTGTTGCTGGTTACCAAAGAACTCAGACTGATGTGTGCAGAGAACTTGGGGAACAGATAGGCTCTGAGCCCTGGGCTCCCAATGCTTAGTTCACTGCTATTTCCATCCTGCCAAGCTGCCTACCCTCCCTGCCCAGCTGTCCACTGTCCAGCCATCTGTCCCCACGTCTGAGCAGACTGCAAACTTGGAGTGTTCTGGATCCCAAACACAGGGTCTGAGTGTTCTCTGCTTGGGATGTGCCCAGATAAATGATGACTTCTCCATCCTGCTCTGTTGGTGGGAGACAGGGGTGTGGGTGTGGCAGAAGGGAAGGGAAGGTGGATGCTAGAGAGGTCCAGCCTGTGGAGGGGATCGGGCAACATGAAGTTTTCCATCTTTCGTGTGAGTCAGATTCAGGGACTAGAACATTCGCTTGCTCAACAAGTGTTTATTAAACAGCTCCTCTGTGCAGGCCATGGCATGAACCGTAGCTCAAGGCATAATGGGGGACTGCAGGTCAGCAAAGGCAATGGTGACATAGGTGGCCAGTCCGATGGAGAAGTGCAGGGTGCTGGGGGGGCACCAGTGAGGCCCCTAATGAGGCGGGGATATCAGGAGAGGTTCCCTGGAAGGGATTTAGGATGTGAAGGAGGAGCTGGGGTCAACGGCTACGGAATGTGAGAGGGGCACATGGGCTGTTCTAGGCAGAAGGAGGGCATGGGAACAGGCCTGGAGTTAAAAGAAATCAGGGCACATACAAGAGATGGAGAGAAACTCTGTCTGACAAGGGGAGAGTGAAAATGGAGAGTGACATGGGACGGGGACACTGACTGAGATGCTCATTTGTGAAACACTTCCTTCTTGTTTTCCATCTCCCTCCTCTTCTTTCTAGGGAGGTGAGACAGACCTTAATTCTTCAAACAGCCCTAGGAGGAACAGACTTTCATTACCCGTGTTTTCTAGATGAAAAAATGGAGATTCAGAGAAGTGAAGTGACCAGCCCCAGGCCACACAGCTAGTAATGACAGATCTGCCCCTCGCCGCCCATATTCCTAAGCTCTCTTCTCTTCTGGCTTTCAGCCTTTGTTGAAAAAATGCTCTGAAAACAGGAAGAGAGTGGACACGAACGCATCAGCAGACTTTCTTTAAAAAAAAAAATCCTCATTATAGGTCTATGTGGCTGCAACCCATTTTACAGATGAAGAAACTAAGGCTTGGGGGCCAAGTGACTTCCAGGCTCACACAGTGGGCAAATCAGTGAGGGAGCCAGAGGGGTGGATCCTAGCATGCCTGTCTTCCTGCCCAGGGCCCTGAAGGAGCTCACTCTGAGGGGCCATTAGCTTTGTGTGCCTTCCCCATGACGGGAGTGACCGGAAGTCCTCCCCTGGCCTGTGGCCTCAGGTTTCCCCGTGTGAGGAAGCAGCCCAGAGAGACTGGTTTGGGTGAAGAGTGTAGGTGATGGTGGCAGCCGTGTTCCATTACGGAAGCAACAAATGCACTCACTGGCCAAGGACCCAGCAGCCCTGGGCTCTTGTCCGAGACCACCTTGTGACTTTGGGCCAGTCATTTCCTCTGAGTCTCAGGAGTGCCAACTGAAAATCAAGAGAATCAAATTTAATGGCTTTGAAGGGCCTCTCCTTAAGGTCGAGTTCAATTTCAGGGCTGTCAAGGTGGATTTAATGAGGCGGATGGAGGGGAGTGACAAGGGACCAGCAGAGGGCGCTCCCAGCAGCAGGGAAACCAGGCCTTGGTCCATGGAGCCTGGCAAAGGCGGCCCAATCTCTAGGTGTGTGGGGCGGTTCCCACCCTAGCCAGTTACTGACAGAGGCCACGTCCAGTTCTGGTGATTAGTATCTGCTGTGGGTGGCCCTATTTGTGTGGTGAGCGCCCCCCCCGCCCCCCCCAAAATCAGTCGAAGATTTCAGAGTTCAAAGGTCATCTGGTTTAACCATGTTTTCCAGCACTCTGAAAAACACTCATTCTGTGCCCTCTCTCGACACCTCCCCAGCCCCAGCTACAGAGTTTAGCTGTAAACTAAAGGGGAAAACAGGCAATCACCAGCGCGAAGGCAATGATCGTACCTCTTGTGACGGTGTTCTGGCATCTCCATTCAGTTATATGCTCACGCCTACCTGTAACACCTTGGAATACACTTTTCCCTTCACTAGAAAAGCTCCCTTTTCCCTTCCCTGCTTGGAAAGCTCTGAAAGCCCCTTCTAAGATCCTGTTCAAACGCCATCTCTTCAGCAGAACTGTCCCTGAGTCCCTTAGGAAGAACTGGGCACGTCTTCGGTTCTCACGTCTCTGTTCAGAATTGATCTATTGGTGCCCGCATCCCCAACCCACTCGGGGTATCTGTGCACAAACCTGTGCTTTACAACGAGTGCAGATTCCTCAGTATAACCCAACCAACTAGACACAGTTCTCGTCCTCCTCCTACACACGGAGAGACTGGGACTTGAAGAGACTGAGTCATTGCTCAAGGTCACACAGTTGGTAAGTGGCAGAACCAGGCTTCAAACTCACTTTGCCTCAACCTGAGGCCCAGGCTTTATTTAAACCACTAAGCGTAGGGCCTCGGACACGGACCTCCCTGTCTCCCGTGCCTGTACTCTATCTGACACCAGGCAGATATTCAAGATCTGTTTCTTGAAAAAATAAATTAAAAGCGGGTTAGACCCCGAGCATGAATAAATGGCTCACTAAAAAACACAAAGTACAGGGGCTCCTGGATGGCTCAGTCAGTTAACCGCCTGACTCTTGGTTTCAGCTCAGGTCATGATCTCACAGTTCATGAGTTGGAGCCCCGCATCAACAGCGTGGAGCCTGCTTGGGGTTCTCTCTCCCCCTTCCTGCCCCTCCCCCTGCTAGTGCTCCATCTCTCTCAAAATAAATACATAAACTTTACACACAAATACAGGCGTTGGGATTGGACTGCCCAAGTATGAACTCCAGATCCCTCAGTAGCTGCCCAGTCTTGGGCAAGATCCTTGAATTTCCTATGCCCTCAGTCTTCTCACCTGTAAAATGGGAATAACCAGTGTACTTCAAAGGATTCTTAAGGAGATTAAGTGAATTTTGATCCTCCCAGAAGTTTTGATACAAGATACACGGAAAATGCTTAGAACGGGGCCCAGTAAACTCCCAAAACCGTCAGCTGCCACCATCTTGCATGTCAGGTGTTGCCTGTTTCTTGGTTAATACAGCCCTCTTTCCCCACGTAGCTGAGGTCCACGGAGACTCTAGAATAAGTCTTGTGTTATGCTAATAAATTGGTTCTCAGGAAAGTAAATAAATAAATAAATGAATTTTCAAAGCCCTGATGAGTGGCATTCGCCAATTTCCCTGGTGTAAATGATCCCACGGTGGCTGATTTCAAGCTATGAATGTGAGGGGTCATGCTGCCAGTCTTGGAGGAGGTCAGGAGTTTTACTCTAACTCTCTGTGCCTCAGTTTTCTCACCTTTGAAATAGCATCGCTAAAGCTCCTGGAGGAATGCCTGGCACACTGTATCCTCCGGAAGAGTTAGCGGATCTAATGGTTGTTGGGAGCCGTTAACCACACTCACTGCTGCTTGTCTGGTTCTGACCCTGGCCCGGTCCCAGCACCTGGCCTCTCGCCTGATGCCCTGGCAGGCAGTCTCTGCCTTGGTCGCTTGCCTTCTAGGACTGAGGCCTTGTCCACTCTTGCGACTCTCTCCCCAACCCACCTGGAACCAGCATTCTCACTTAGCCTGTGTCGGGTCACCACATCCACCCTGATCACAAATGGTTTTGTGCTGCTGGTATCTAACCTACCTCTGGTTTCAGCCCTAGGTGTCCCTGATGCCCACCCACCCCTGGCCCGGACTAGCTGTGCCTCTGCCTTGCTCTGGACCGTCCATGATGGTCCCGTGTGTTATCTGCTTTGTTCTTCATCACTTACAAAACCACTTCTCGGAGGGCCTGTATGCACTTCCAGAGGGGAGAGCCGGAGTTCAGAGTGAGGGAGGGTTGTCCCCCCTTCCCCCGTCGCCCACCCACCCGCTGCAGCTAGTGAGGACTCCAGTTCCTGCCACACCCCACAGTGAGGGCCAGAGTCCCCCCACCTCTGCCTCTGATTTAACCCTACTGTGCTCAGGCCTGACCCAAGCAGTGACAGCACAGGCTGGGAAGACCCTGGTACTTTAGGATTTGGTGAAAGATTCAGGAAAACAGAGTCAGATGCAGGGCCTGAGAGAGGCAAGGCAGAGGCGGCATCTGGAAACAGGTGGGTCCGAGGCTCCTTTGCCGGGAGAGACTACAGAGGGTATAATGGAATGAGAAAGAAAGAGACCAGATGGAACCAGGAGTCAAGGTTTAGATGGAAGCGGGTCGGACCTCCTGAATTCAGATGTAATAAACATCAGCCGCATACCTACTATGCGCCAAGTGCTTTCCAATGCTTTCTTTCATTGGACCCTCGCAGCAACCTGGTGAAAGAGGTATCGTTACCTCACTTCGTACAGGAGCTAATCGGCACCTGGAAGGGTTAGGGACCGACACGGGCGCAGGTAAGTGTCACTCTAGTCCTGCTCAGATGGCCAATGGAGAAGACGGGACAGAGCCCGGTCCTGGGCCAAGGATAATTAGTCCTCTCAGCGCCTCGTGCTACTGCTGACCATTCTGAGGTCACACACCTTAGAGCCATCGTGGCACTCGGAAGAAGGAT